ATTTGGTTTTTACGTTTGATTAACTATTAATATTGTTCCACTTGTAGTCTTATTTGATTATATATTAAAGTGTTGGGGTACCTCGAGTCTAATTCCCTTAAAACTGACATTTTTTTCTCAAAACAGACTGAAAGTATCGATACTAGACCAAGAGTATTAATACCCCTGTAAAAGTTTCGATACTTTATATAAGTACCGATACTTTTAAACATTCTGTTCTGCCTAGTTTCGATACTTTCTGGGAGTTTCAAAACTATGACCCAAAGTTTTGATACTCTTGAAAGAGTTTCGATACTCTTGCCAGACAACACGATCTTACCCAGAAACAGAGAACAAGTATCGATACTATCCCTATAGTGTCGATACTCTACCTGCAAAAACCATAAAAACAAGTACAAAAAACTATATTTTTTATAACCCAAAGACCCTAAGAGGTCCCCAATTATTATTAAAGTCTTACGTGATATTAAGGGAGCGTACATAAGGCTTTAATACATATTAAAAACATAAAACTTAAAATCTACCATGAAAATCTACTAAACATGCTTAAACTAAACTTTTAAGCTAAACCTCTTTCAATTAATTCTACAACTGGTATGGAAAAGCTAATAGTGTGTTACCTGGCCTCCTTGGTTGCTAAAACCTCTCCTAATTCTACTAGGAATCACCTTTCCTTTGTTTCTAGCTTTGATACTCTCTTCCCCTTCTTTAGCGTGGTGGATTCAAACTAAGCTTGAAGTCCCTTAAAGCTTGATCTTGGCTAAGGAGAAGAAATGAAGAAGAAGAGTTTGGAGAAGAAGAAAATGGGAAGATATTTTTGGGGAATTGCTCACGTGAAAAATAAGGGAGATAAGGGGTTTTTAACCTTTAAAACAATCTACGGGTAAACTACACTTTTAGTCCTTCTCCCTTTAACTCACTTTTAAAAACACTATTATCCTTTAACTATTGGTCCAACCTAAGCTCAATACCCTTTTTGAACTGGTCCAACTATCTTAAGAGGTCAAACTGGCTTGGCTTACGGGTTTCGAGTTAACTTGAATTATTGACCCGAGTTCCGGGGCATTACAAAATTTCTCATTGATATAATAGTGACCAAATTATTCGTGGTGATTAATGGTGATTAAGCAAATGATCACCGTGAATTTAAGTGACTACATTATTTGTGGTGCTTCTAGTGACAATTCTTAACGTCACTAAAAATATATTTTCTTGTTTCGGTATTCATGCCCATAAGTTAAGAATGTACTTATCCAAAATTAAAAACTTGATGGTGTTTCCTCTTATTCATGTCAAATTATAGATTTGCTATGCTAGAGGACTTGTGTCAGAGTATGATTGTGATAGTTGAGGGTCACACTACTCACTCCAACATTGGTGAAAATGGCCGATCCTAGAGACTAAAGAGTTTGAGGTTCAAAGTACGAAGGTTCATAATATCGTTAGGCTCTCTCATACACTAATAAAGAGTGCCAAACGTTTCGAAGATTATTGGAAAGCTTCAAATCACCGAGCTATGGGCAATGTAGATGTACACATTCTGCAAAGTGTTAGAATGACTATTTTGAGAATTTGAATCTCTAAAGAGGACCATATATTGAATGTGAGATTACTAAAGCAAGAGTTTAAATGATGGGCATATATGTGATCATTGGATTGGTAAGATAAACAAAATATTTGTACTTCAAGGGATGAAAGTATTGAGACAAAGTTGATTAAGTCGAGTAAACATACCAATATAAGATTAGAATTAGAATTTATGGCTAGAATCTAGAAGTTTAGGTATAAGACAAGATTGAAATTTTAACTTGATACTAATCAATTTTTAAGAATGGACTGTCAATACAAAAATCCTTCTAATGATAGTACTATAGATACAATTGGGGGGTTGTGATTCATCGTTTAACTATTTATGAACATTAGAGTACACAATCAAAAACGTGATGTTCCAATTCATGAATGGAAAGTCGAGTTGTTGGAAATTTATGTTAATTTCTAAGAGTTGATCAAGTTATTTTGAAAAGAAATAAACACTTGTTAGTTGTTATCTGATTTGAAGGCCTTTAAAAGCAATTAAAAGGAGTATTCATGTCTTTAACGATCCATTCTTGATCTCACTGTTATCGGTTGAGAGTTTTCCTATCATGACTTAAGGTTGATGATTGTATTAGATGCATTCATAGATTTCTCAAATTTGATGTTCTAAGTATGATTCGATCAGTTTAACAACTACTTCTATTGATGATTTCTCAAATCTGATTGTTGGGAATTATTTGTGACAACTAAATAATGGTTAATGTGAATTTCCATGACTAAACATTTTTAAAAATAATTCTTAATATCACTGAAAATACATTTTCTTGTACTGATTACTCATAAGTTAAGAATGTACTCATCCAAAACTAGAAATTCGATTATGTTCCTTTCTTATGTCAAATTATAGATTTGATATGCTAGAGGACTCAAGTCAGAGTATGATTGTGATCGTCGAGGGTCGTACCACTCACTCTAGCATTGGTGAGAGTGATTTGATCCTAGAGACTAAAAGGATCTGATGTTTATAATGAATTAAATGAATTCCAACTTTAACAACCAAAGTGGAAATATTGTTCCAAATTTCGAAATAAAACCATATATCAAAATCATTAAACTTGCAAAATTACAAGTTGAATCTTTTGGCGTACAGGTTTCGTTTAACCTTTGATTTCGAAAAAAAAATGATTGACAACATGGAAAAGGATGTTGGTCAAATAAATAATACATTAAATATTTTGGCAAAGTCTTAGTGATCATTAGCCATCGCATTAAAATTCAACGAGCAATTGTTAAAGAAAGCAAAGTAGATCATTACAGATTTGGTAGGCGATCAACATCATCATTATTCTCATTAATTCTTTTCTTTACGGTTGGGAGTGGATTAACCTGGTACGTTTACATGGTTGTTAATCAGTTCGTGTGTATATATACAAATTGAAATGACATTTTCCTAGAAACTTTATTTTTATTTTAAAGTTATGGGTTCAATGTTTCAAAAGTGAAAAACAAGATAACATTATTTGTGTTTGAAAGTTGTCTTAAAGTATAGTATTTAATTTGGATGAAACGTTGGCTTCCTTTTTAGTAATTTATGGTGATTATAAGATAGTAATTGTGTATATTTTTTTTAAAATTATTAACAATGTGCGCACACCCTCTTGATATTCAAACTTGAAATCTCAAACAAGAACGACATTCTCTTTAACCATTAAAATCACTTAATGGATTCACGTTGATTTCTTACCGTCATAGAAACCAGAAAACCTACAGGTGGAATGGTTACAGTGGTATTTAGTGTAGGCTGATATGATTGTGTCCATTAAATGATCAATACAACTTTTGGTTATGGACAGAAATTGATATTAGTAATTAACAAAATCCAATTAGTTAGTAATTGATTAACTTTGATTGAAGGTAAGATGTTTTTTTTGAAAGGGTGAAGTGCTTGCTTATGATTTTCTAATCACTGCTGATTTAAAAAAAAATCCCACGGAAGTAAAAATCCAATTGTTGAGAGAGTTTATGTTGTATTGATGACCAACACAACTCTGGAGAAGATGCAAGCTTCAACACCACCTGTTCGTTCATTGCTAATCATATGTCAACTTAAACAAGTACTTAACACCAACTATTATAAACAAAAACCTTCCAAAAAATAACCTAAATAATTAAAAGGAATATTATTTATTTTTAAAATCATGAATTTAAATAATTGTGTCCTCGTATAATATAATTACATTTATTATTAATTATTTAAGAGAATTTTAAGTAATTATTATCTTTAATTTGATATTTTTTTTTAAATCGAATTCGAAAAGAATTAAAAACATTTAATTTCATCCTGACCCATTTCAAAATACTTAGGAAAATATCATTTAAAATATTTATAAAATACTATTATATATAATTAAAATTAAAATTCTTTAATTCTTTTTTTCTTTTTCATTTTATCCCAGCTTCCAGAAAATTTCATGGTTCTCTAATGAGTACTGGAGAGTCTAATAATGTCAAGTTCTTGGCTTATTTTTGTTCTTTATCTTCCCTCCTTTCTCTTTTTCACTCTCTTTGTTTTTTCCTTGAAAATGATTCAAGTAAACTGTTTTTCGTATGTTTTAATTTAGTGTTTAAAATGGTTGAAATATTCCAAATTCTAAACATGAGCCTTAAAATATAACAACTTTTTAGTAATTAAGATATGGGTTGCTTCTGTTATTCTCTTTTAAAGTTGTTCTTTTTTTTTTTCCCCTTCTTCAGTTTATGTTTATGGGTCTTTGATCTAAGCAATTCGACTGAAATTGAATAGGAGAAATCAAAAACAAGTAGAGCTTCAACCCATCCCATTGCCATCTCTAATTATACCCCGAAAAGAATTAATGTTTAAACTTCAGAGAGACATTTTTAAAAATTACTCCAAAACAGACATGTCTTGCACCAAAAAAAAATAGAGAGAGAGAGAGAGAGAGAGCAAACTAGAAGAGGTTATCGAAAGAAAGGGAAGAAGAGCCTGAAATGAAAAAGCCCCCGGGGAGGAAATAGTTTTTTTTAAGATAAATTTTAAACTAAATTATTATCATATTTAACTTAAAAATTGTATAATAATTTGAATATTTTCAAGTGAAACTGAAAAAATTTACATCACATGTTTAATGTTTACAATATATATATATACATATAATTTATAATAATTTTGATTACAATACAAAATGTTATAAAAAATAATATTTTTAATTTTAATCTAAAATATACACTGTCCAATCTAAAAGGTGAAACTTTTAGAACTTTTTTTTTAATTATAACTGACTTATATCACTTTTTAGCTATTAACAAATTGTATTAAAAACTCTCCCCGAAGATCCCTTTTGAAGCAAATACTCTAACAATTAACAACAATAGACCCTTCCACACGACAAATGATCTAATAGTTAACCAAATTATATACAAGAAACCCTGATATAATGATTTAAGATGATGACATCATAACAACTCATAACTAGATAAAATGATATAATGAAATCCAAGGAACTAAGTTCAACCTGTCTGACATCCCAAGCCTTCTCAAATAAAAGCAATATCCAATCAATAAACTGACAGAAATTCATTACCAAAAATTTTCAGAACTTTAAACTCCCCTTTCCGAAAGAGAAATTACATAAACAGGTTGGGCCTTGACGCCTTGTAGGTTGTCTTCAGCTTCCTGGTAGGTGGTCGCACCTTCTTCACCACCAAGGGGAACTTGATCTTTGAGTTGTGGAACTGCTTGGTGTTGTCCCTCTTGCATAGCTTGGCTGGGATGGTTGCCGTCTTGATGATCTGAATGCACGGGAACCTAACTCTGTGGCGAGAAGCCATCTCCGTATACATCTGTTCAACGGCTCCGTTCAAAGTTGTATCACGGTATTCCTTGTACATGTTGTGATAACCTGTACGACTTTGGTAGCGAAGCCAAATACCATAATTCTTGATCTTGGTAGGATTCTTCTCAAAAATCTGCACAAAATTTATTTTAGACAAAGAGAATCGGAAAAATGCATCAAAAACCAAGTTGCAGATCATTTTTGAGCTAATCAATATGAAAACATCAACACTTCTTTTCTTTTTCAAAATTAAAAGCACCTTATAAAAAATGAAAATGACATTTCCTCAACAAGCAGAGGTAAGAGTAGAAGACCACAAGTAAAATTTACCCAAAGTTCCAAACCATCTTCGATTCAAAGAGCTACTTCTTTCAATATCTTTAATCATTCAAATGCAACGATATTACAGAGAATGAGATGAGCAAGTTATCAAACAGTACTTTACTAAAAAGAAAAGGGTGCCATAAAAGACCAGATACTTCGTATTCAAGATGCATAAAACTCTTAATGCTCTTAATGCCTGAACAAAATTCCAGATTATATGTTTCTTTTTATTTAATTCCTTTTCACAATTTACTTTTTTTGAAAAATAGCTTATCAGATACAAACTTCCATATACATTGCATAGGCATAAACTAATTGTCAACAAATCTCACATAACCAACATGACTGTAGCTCTAAGAAAATCATCAAAACATAAAACCAAAAGGATACTTAAATTCACATTTCAACACAATGCTAAAAATAATAAACTACTTCATATAAAGTGAAACAGAAAATAGATAACGCAGCACCAACCTCATTGATAGCAAGGACTTGACCATTGCTCTTCTTAACCTTCTTCAGCTTTCTCAAGAAATACCTTGTTAACATTCAAGGAAAGAAACTTCAATCAAATGGAGTTTCATTAAAACCCCAGAAAAACAAGGATGTCAATGAAAACAATCACTAACCAGAACTTGGACTTGGCCCGAACCTCATTGGTGGCCCAAAGCTTCATCCTGTAGATCTTGGGATGCTCATCGCTCTCTGTTGGGTGAGCCCTCCCAACAACCTGGTACTGGTGAAACTGCAACCATAAACAACAACAAATCAAAACTTCTAAGCCTGTAAACGAACCAAACGAACACAAACAAATATATGTTCATGTTTGCTTGTTTAACTTCAACTGAATAACTAAACAAACATAATTTCTTGTTTGTGTTCATTCATTAAGGAATGTAGCTAATTCATGTTAGTTCATTAAATTGATAAACAAACATAAAATATAGCTTTCTTCTAAATCAAGCAAAAATTCTTAAAAGAATATAAGTAAATGGACATAAATGAGAAATATAAATTTAATTAAACAAACAAATTATCAAGCATTCACAATCGTAAAGGAACAAATAAGCTCATAATTCATGTTCATTCATTTAATTAAAAGAACATAAAATATTGTTCATATTTATTACTTTACTAAATAAACAAACATAAAAGAACTTCGCGACCGTTCGCTTCAGTTCATTTACATCCCTAAAAACTTCACTCTCTTTTCATCACACATTAATGGGAAATGATACTTTTCATCACACATTTTACTAACAACTTGCAGCGAAATGGAAAAAGAAGAGAACACGTGGATCTAAACAATGCTTAACATCGTAGAACCGACACCAAATCTAAACATAATCTGCTTAACAATAGCATAAAGCGGGTAATCATGGTAGAATTCTGAAGCTAAAAAGGGGAAGAAAAAATCTGAGGAAAAAGAAGCGTCGGTCACTTACCCTGAAAGTAACCATTTCTGAAAAACTGAAGAATTTGGCAGCCCCAACTCGGTCTTTTGCTCAAGGTAGGAGAAGACGGAACTAGGGTTTCCTTTAGCCTATATAGTAGTAGGCCTTGAGAGATCAAAACCCTAGATCGCAAAGCCGGACCGGGTCAGGTTAATTTTCTTTAAGTGTATGGGTTTGGGTTGGAAATAAATTTTATATATGGTCCAAAATTAGATGGTAAAGGTTTGGGGCTCCTCTCTTGCCTGTTTTAACTACCATTCACTTCATGTTTTAGCCCAATAAGTGAGTTTCGTAGTTTTTTCAAAGTATAATTGAGATGTCACTTTTTTTTATTTAACTATTGATAACAATTCTCTTAATTTAATTTTAATATAATATAAAATATTCTTAATATTTAATTAATAGTTACTTTGATTCCTATTTTCTTTTAGTATTTTAGTCTCTAACATTTTATTTTGAGGCGAAAAGGTTTGTCCTTAGATAAACATTAGCAGACAATAAATGATTAACACTTCAAAAAAGATGCATTTTTTCTTAAAATGAAATATTAGTGGTAAAATGCTTGAAAAAATAAGAATAATCTCCAAAATAACTATTTAGTCAATAAAATGAAACATCGTGCTAAAGTATTCCAAAAAAGAAGAATAATAGTTAAAATAAGTAGTCAAACGTTAAAGATATTATTGATATGATGTATCTATTTTTTTCTATGCATAACATCAAAGTCTCCTTATTTAAAAAATTTAATATTTCGTCCCACTAGATGAATTAAGAGGTCATTTTAACGTAGGAGTAATAGTTGGATTAATCAAAGAATGTGTTTGGTTTAATTAATACTTGGTGGATGGGTGTACCCTTGTCTTCCTCTTGTGTCAATAATTTGGATGTTAGATGTTAAAAAGGCCACCAAGCAATCAGTCAGGGCCCCATCGGCAGTGAAGAAGTGACTATGTGGGGAGAAAATCCCATTGGTGAGCCCTCAGATCCTAGAACGGAGGAAGAACGTGCAACAAAGAAAGTCAAGAACAAAGATTTCCAACAACTCGGCGGTGATGGAAGAAGAGGAAACCCAACTGATAGATGGTCTTTGTGGTGAAAATAATATCCTAGAATAAGTTCTTCAAGGCAGTCCAAGAAAACCTATCCTGGGGTATTTCTAGGTGCATCCAAACAATCTGCCGAAGTTGAGATCTTGGAACAAGATTATGTAATCGATACTAGCGGACCAACAATGACAGAATTGATTATAGTATGGGGCGCACGGTTATTGTTTGACCCCTTGGATGTTCAATAGGTTATCCAACACTAGTGAATTGCATCTGTATGCTATCGCAACCGCAAGCCCAATTTCAGGTCAAAAATAACTATAATCTGATCAAGTTCGAAAACGAAAAAAATTATGCTCACATTCTAATTGAGAGACCTTGGACAATATACATAAACTATCTTACAGTATAATTATGGAGTTGGTTTTCTTTCAACCTCAGAAAAACACCCCTCTCAAGTAATCGTATGGGTTCGATGACCAAGATAACCTATAAATACTATTCTAAGGCACTATTTAGGTATATAACGGCTGTGATTGGAAAAGTCGTCAAAATGGGATGGTTCAATCAAATAAGAATGAAATTATATGAAATTATCTAGGTTAAATCAATAACTAATGATGTTAGAAAACTTAAAGAAAAATAAATCATATGAAATTATTTAGGGAAATGAGGATCATGTTACGGCACGCAACAAAGTTATCGACAATTGTGAACATTTTTTATAAAATCGTTATAGATGAGGATGGTTTTATTTCATTTTCTAATTTTAGAACTAAATTGTATGAAAATAAAAATATATGGGTTGAATCTAAATTTTAAAAATTTATCTCTTTCAGAGTGAAATAAAAATATACGAAATTTGTTTTCTATTTGGTTTATCGGTATAATCAAAACTGTGTAGAAAAATAGTCTGTCAAATTGTTTTGTACGCTTAACACTTGTTTATCACTTGTAAAACGTCTCGTTCGACAGAGATAAGAAGTTTTATGAAGGTTACTGAGTTCTTTTGATGTTGGACGTCATTTTTAATGGAAGATTTCATTTTTTTTTTATCTTTGAGTTTACTACTTTTATTTTATGTTTGAGTTTTTTGGTGATTATTGTCTCTATTTTCTCTTTAGATGCTTTGTAATTTTGATTTATTCTATTGTTTTTATTAATGAAATTTAGTTGTCATAATTCAAAAAATTCAATCTATTTATATCTATAGTTTTTTTAAAAAATAAAAGTTGTAGATCTAAATTCATGTATCCTGTAAAGTAAGCTACTTGAATCTAGATCATTAGAGAAAAAATGTCATTTAACAATGGAGACTACTTAAGGGTTCAATCATATGCATAATTTTAATTTAATTATATATTTATAATTTTGATTTAATTTTATATATTTTGAAAATAAATGTATTCATTTTAATATTAAATAAATATATCGTTTATACATATAAAATGTAAAAACATAAAATTATTTATAAATTTAAATTAAATCAAACTAAAATCATATGTATATATAATTTTGTAAATTAATATTTATATTTCATCTTAAATTTCAAACAATAATAATAATAATTTTATATAATTTTTTTATAATTTCATAAATTAATTATAAAGTAACTTGAAATTATTTTTAGAAGTTATTTTGAAAAGTGATGTCAAAAAGTGATTTTAAAAAATATTTTTAAAATTTGAGATTAAGATTTTAATGTTTGATATTACTTCTAAAAATAGTTTTGAAAAGATAAAATATATATTTTAGATATGGTATTTTAAATTGAAAATAAGTTGACTTATTTAATATCTAAATTCATTAACATTACAATATGTCAAATAAAGCAACTTAAAATTATGATAAAAATATAAACATAATCATTACATATTCATAAAAAATTGAAATAAATTTAAAATAAAATAATTGTGTACTCAACATATATATTGTAGGAAATATATTATTTTATAAATTAAATAAAAACATTTAGGTGATTATACATAAGAGTCTTTAAAGTTCCATCAACTTATATCTAACAATCAATTTGAATATTAATAAAAATAATTAATATATAATTATATATGTATACATATTAAACTAAAAACTAATTAAAATTAAATAATTGAGGATAAAAAATATAATTCCACTTAAAAATTATTTTATCATAACAAAAACTGAAATTTAACTTTTAAGGTTATGCTGAAAATTAATTTTCTATCAGCTTATATTTAACAATCAATTTGAATATTAATAAAAGTAAGTACTACATAATTATATATATGTATGTATATTAATTTAAAATCTAATAAAAATTAAATAATTGATGATAACAATATAATTTTACTTAAAATTTAATATTTCATAACAAAAGCTGAAAATTTAAACTTTTAAGGTTATATTGGAAATATAAACTAGGTAGTTGCACGAACTAGGTAGTTGCACGAATTAAGGGGCCTTAGTGGTAAAAGAATTATTATTATTCTTGAGGACCCGAGTTTGAGCATCATAGATGTCAGGATGTGAGCATTCAATGCTAAAAGGTAGTTATTTTTTGCTACAACCTAATATAAGATTAATTTAAGATGATTTTCAATATAAAATATTATCATATTTAACATAAGAAAGTATACAAATTTGTAAAAAAAATTATCGCAACCGAAAATTTACATTACAGGGAGTTTAACACTCGTAACTGAAAATGTATGTTATCATAACAGAAAATGTTATTAAGAATATAACATTTTTAGTTACAACTTAAAATGTTACTTTGTCAAAACTAAAAAGTTACACTCTTGATAAGATTTTAAGTTGTAATCGATTTTTACCTATATTAACAAGTATTTTAGAATTTTTGAGAAGATGACATTGATCGTCTGTTTAATTAAAGGGTGAAGTACATAAATGGCCCCCTAACTATATGATACTATTTTGTTGAGTCCCCTAATTATTAAAAATTATAAAATAGTCCCTCGAGTACATGACACTTCTTTGTTGAGTCCACCAACTACCAAAAGTTACAAAATGGTCACCTAACTATTCATATGTTTCAAACTCATATTTTTCGTTAAAAAATTAATGTACGTCTGAGCTGGACGTTAACATGCTAATTGTAATATGATAAAATTTAATCTCACACTCTCAAACAACTATATAGTTCAAACAATTATACAATTCAAACAATTATTGAATCAAAATTTATTGATATCAGTTAGCAAATTAACGTTAAACTCAAAGGATCGTCAATATTTTAATAAAAAAGAATGAGTTTAGAATTTATAAATAGTTGATTGATTATTTTATAACTTTTAATATTCTAGAGGTTCAACAAAACAACTCTATGTAATCGATGAATTCAACAAAACAATATCTATAGTTAAAGAACTATTTTATAATTTTTTATAGTTGATGGACTCAATAATACGATATCTATTTGCATACTATTTATATACTTTATGATGCTTGCTAAATATTTATTTGACATCAGTTCTCACACCTCTTATTTAAACGCCTTTTCAATGATCTCTTAACCACAAATCTTTCGTTCTCTCCTCCTTTGGGGTGGGTTGGGGTGGGGTGGGCTGGGCTGGGCTGGGGTGGGCTGGGGTGGGCTGGGGTGGGCTGGGCTGGGTTGGGTTGGGGGGAATAAGAAAAAGGATGAATCCCATTTTATCCATTGTTTACCTTTAGTTCCGTATTTTATCCATTGTGTCACCTTTCACTTTTGTATTCTTTCCTGGGAACAAATCTTAGATTTAAAAAGAAAGCGAAATGCACCTGGTCCACACTTAATTTTTCCTTTTGTAGGAAATGCGATTTCATTAATCACAAATCCCACCAAGTTCTGGCAAGTTCAAACTCAGTTGTCTCTTCTGTTGGATTTTGTGTTAATTACGTTCTGGGTCAATTCATCGTCTTTGTCAAAGATACCGAGCTTTCTCACCTTATCTTCGCCAACGTCCGATTCGATGCTTTCGTACCCATCGGACATCCCTTCGGTAAAAAATTCTTTGGCGAACATAACATGATTTTTTTGACTGGACAAGATCACAAAGATCTCCGCTCTCATATCGCTCC